GCGATTGTGATTTTAGAATTTGTAAATTTTCCAGATCGCCAAAAATTAAATTTAGTTAGAAAATACACACGGACGCAATTCGGCCAAAAAATTTTACGCAGCTCTCTTAGGAACCGAAACATTTATTTTCGTTTCTAAAGTTTCTTTTCCTATTTGTGAATTGACCGCCACTATTATTAGAATTTTAAATTTAGCGTTTTAAGATATAAGTCTTTTTTAAATTACTCTGTTTTGCCTCTTAGAAAATTATTTTACAAAAACCGTGTTTTATAATTTTCTTAACATTAGAAACATATTTTTTACGATAATTGGTGCAATTTGTGCTTTTACACCGATTGTATTGTTTGTATTACACTCTGGTTGTCCCGCACCTGTGATCTCGATTTTGTCGTACCTACGCGAAAGTCATATTGTTTCATCCTGCTAGACTTTGATTATTAGCCCGAATAAATCTGGCTTTTATAGATTTGTTTTTGAAACATTCGATAGTTAAAGAAAGCGGGGGAACCAAATTTTCCCTCTGATTCTCTACCGTCCTATAACAAAACATAAATCATTTTATCGCATTTTACATAGTTTTTAGATCAAATAAATTATAAAAAATAATAAAAAGTTTTGAGCATTTTCATTTTTTGGTCAAAAATGACCAAAAAAAGGCGATGATTTTCGAATTTAAAAAATTTTTAAACATATTTTTGAGAGCCTCCTGGAAATCAAAAGCTGCTAAAAACACTAGAAAAATGCACAACAACATCACGTAACAGAAAAAAGAAAGACAGAAATTGGTTTTACCCCCTGCTAAAAGCTAAAAATCCCCCCCCCCGCTAACAGTCCAGAACCAAGAAAGCTTCACTTCTCAGGTTTTTTTTAAATCGGTCCACGCTATAGCAGTTTTTGCTTCCACAAGCGTGGATAGGGATGTTGTCTTTTTCATACTTGCTTGATCCTGTCTCTGAAAGGCTGGCAATTTAATGTTTCATCAAAGGTGGAAGGCCAATTTAAGCTGTTCCATACATCCCAATTAACCTTGCTTGCCTGATTTTCCAACATTTATGTTTAAGGGGCACGTTCAGGGAGGGGCCGTGTACTCGTCCCAACGTGTACACCCTATGGACGTAGGGACCGCACGCACGGACTGCCCGTGCTGTGACAGGCCATTCCCCTCCTTTGCGGCGTGGGGCGCCCCTCGCCGTCTCGCCAGGTTGTAGCTGTGGCTGACTGGTGTCCATCCGCGCGTCCGGGGGCACCCGGGTTCGACCCCCGGTCGCGGCAAAAATCTTTGCTTTTTCCAAAAAACGTCCCTGAACGTGCTCTTTAATTCCGGCTTCACCTTATTTGATTGGATCTTAAATTTTTTTGCCTTTCCTCTCATTTTACGAAAATAATCGCAAACTTTTGCTGCTAAAGATTTGCAAAAAATTCACATTAAAACGATGGTAACGTCATGTTTTGCAATTCAGTGCCAAGGCCTTCCCTTTTTTGAACGCTCTTAAAAGCGGGCATTAAACTTCTAGGCGACAATAAAATTCTAAATGTTTAAATAAAGTTCAAATCAGCATTGTTGCAAATTCGAATGTTGGGGCTGAAATGGAAAAGGCGCAAACAAGTTTATTTCGGCATAGAAATGCTGGAGCACGCCTGTGTCCCGTCGCTGCTGCTGCGCCCCCACATCCATCGAGGTCCACAGTTGCACGACACATCTTTTCGCAAAATCTTTGCTTTCATTTTTTGGTAAAATGTTTCAATCGATCTTCAAAAAATGTTAATTGATTAGAGCGTATTGCATGTCGCGTGTTCACCAACCTAAAAATCCCAACTTTTCCTGATTTTACCTTTAACCATAGCTCCACGGCAGTTTTGGAACCCGGATTCGGAATCAACAAAGAATGTGCACAAAATATGCTGGGCCCTAGACCTCCCGAACCAGGCAGTCCGGATATTTTAAGGGTAAGAGTCTAGAAACCCCCCCAGCCGGCACCAACTTTTGTATCTCGGCTCCCTTCTGTGCTAGCGAGCTCTAAAGTATACCAAAATGTTCGCCGTAGGCTAATTAGTAAGACCACATTGCAGTTAAGTCGAAAAAAGTAGCGAAAAATAAAAATAAGGAAGGTAGAAGAGTTGAAAAGTCGGCTGGGGGGGGGTTTCCTAGACTTGGGCCATTTTAAGCATTTCAGCTGTTTTTTCGCCTAATTTAAGTTAATTTTAATTGATTTGTATGTATTTTTGTTAAATTTAAGGTTTGATTTTATGTACAATTCATCGTGATTTACTCAGGGTACCGTCCCCTGCATCAGCCCCACATCTACTACTGGAGCAGCATCTTTGGCGTGCACAACGAATTGGCGGGTTCTAGAAATTTTTGGGATCTGGAACGGGGTTTTTTTTTATTGTTTCATTCCAGAGCTCAATAAGCTCGACGACGAAGCCTAATCGCGCTCAACGTATTTGTACTTTGGAATTTTCGTAATTTCTGACTGCGATCTGATTTAAAAAAACATTAAAAAAATCATGTATTTATTTTTGGTTCCAGATTAACGTGTGGACACATCTGGTGCCGTTCATCATCATCGTCTGCGGCTATCTGCTGCCCGAATGGAGATGTACAGAGCCCAGGTAGCTGCTAGGCGGGAGAGAGAGAGAGACAGCGAGAGACAGCGAGAGAGAACGACTGTGTCTACGCTAGCAGAAATTTTGATCTCTAGAAAAAACATGTTTCGTATCTAACAATAGTGCGTTCAGGTTTTGACGAGAGAATTAAAGCCAGTGTTTTACCGACAAAAAAATATTATATTTTCTCTTGCTTTTTATTGCTCGGTTTATTTTTTCGCTTGTCCTTTCCAAATCCCAATATTTTCCAGTTCAACCCTGATCCTGTTGTACATCGGGGTGGCGGCGCTGCTCGGCTGCAGCACCCTCGCCCATTTAATGGTGGGTTTTCTAAAAATTAACTGAATTATCTTAATGAAGATTTTCTCATAAATAATAATCCATTAGATAATTATTATGCTATCTATTTAAATAGATTAAAAGGCCCGATTTTCAGCACTCCCGTTCGCACGTGGAGCACTTCTTCTGGTGGACCGTCGACTTTTCCGGCATCGCCATTTGGTGAGAGAAATTTTTGTTTTTTGACGGATCTTTGACTCGCAATGTTAATTCTCAATTCTTACTTGTCTACTACTATATAAAAAAATGGTCGCTACGGTTTACTTTACCCCCCAGCCGGAAGTTTTTGGCTATAAATTTTTTTATTTTACATTATTGTAGGCTCAAATTAAAACTCTTAGTATATTTTTCAACGCTCTATCGAATGGCGTTGCAAAAATCCCGACAAAATAAGCGAAAATACCGACAACTTTGAGACCCTTCGGCTGTGGGGGGTAAAGTAAACTCTTACCAAATGGTAAATCTATAATTTTTATAAATCACAATTAACGGGCTATCAATTTTTAGTTCTTGCTGTAACATTTCCTTGAGAATTGTGGAATGTCTCATTTGAAAAAACACCGATGAATGGCGTGTAGAAATCTGATACTTTAATGGAATAGGTATGAAACATGGTTTTTCTCAATTTCAGGATGGTAGTGACGGGGATGGTGGCGTGGATGGTGGCCGACGATAAGGGGCGCCCTTTTGATGTGGTTTGTAATAAATGTTTCATGAATGTATGAACCTAGGAAATCCTAGTATTCTTGACTATCAAAAGAAAAATTTCTTTTAATTTTAATTGGGGGTTTTCGACTATATTCTTAAAAAACGTCCTCCTTTGCAAATGCAAAAGAGCCTCCAGGGCTGCAAGATATACCAAAGAAGATTGCCGTAGTTTCATTAGTGAATTAGTATAGTTGGGCCAAAAAGAGAGCTAAAAACATAAGAATAGAAATACGATATTAACATAATAATAAATAAAGAAAATGTCGAAATCTCAGCTCAATAGGACATCAAGGCCAATGTTTCATTAACAACACTTGTAAATTCCCGTAATTAATAACGTAATCAAGACGACTACTCAGGCTACTACTAGGACCTGACCTTGCACTGATATTTCGTGACATTTTGTTTAGAATTTTCGGTTTATGAAAATGAGTGAAGTCGTGCAAAGATTCAGGCTGAGCAACCTTATCAGTAACATGCTGTCAGGCGAAACATAAAAATTTTCAGAATCCTAGTAGCAATTTGGGTGCAGTTTGCTAGAAACTTTGGAATTCGTGGTGCGGCGCGTCTGCGTCACGTTTTCGTGATTTTGCCTTCACAATCTCTGAAACCCGTTCTCCTTGCAGATGTACCCGTTGATTCTGGTGTTGCTGGCCGGCATCCAGTTCTTCTCCACCGCCTACCTCTTCATCGCCTATCCCGAATGGCCGGCAAGGTCTGGAAAATTTTTGCTTTGCATTCTAAAGGGATTCGCAAGGTTTATTTTATATCAAAACAGGTTTAAAATAAATTCGTATTTTTGCACAAGTTGCATAACAAGAAGTCTATAATTGACCGAGAAATTTCCATGCTGATTTTGAACATTTGTGAAACATATCGATCGGCAAGCGAGGAAATGGTGTAGAAGTTGTGTTTCACTAATCTTAGACGAGAATTTATTAATCGTAGTAGACAAAGTGCTTGCAATATCAATGGCATTGGCATTATCGAGGGGATATAGGCTTTTCCCGGAGGTCCGGAAATAGATAGACCAAAAATAGAAGTAGGTTCAATAGTGTTTTTAGAGACATTTCACAGGATTTAAAGTGGGGGAAAACTGTCTAAAAAAAAACGTTTAAATATTTTAAATATTTCGAGATTTTGGCCGAAAATTATCATTTTCGCGATAAACCGTCCGTCCGTGAAAAACCAGCGTTTCATATGTTTCCAAAAACCGTGCGCTTTTGCCTGTGTAATTTTAATCGGACGTCGATTTCAGTCATTTTTGAATTTCACCTTTATATTAATATTACCTTTATATTAAAGTTTTAACATCCTGTAAGTTATTGCCATTTTCAGACATCTGATCCGTATGCTCACCTGCACGTCGGTGGCCATCTGGGTGAACGCGCCGATCGCCTACGGCTTATTGGTCGGTGGTTTAAATTAATTGTTTCAAACTTTTAAGGTGTTAGTTGATTTGGGTTTTGATTTAATTGTTCGTCGTATTTTATTCGTCACATTTTTAAATTTTTTGCCTTCCTTTTAACCCGATAATCCGATTCCCCAATGCTATATGCTAGCTTGCCTGGGTCAGAGCAAACTCTGTAATTCCTCTAAATTCTGCCCCATCGACCGTAACCCTGCCGATTTCAGCGAGCCCTTTTCACGTGGGAGTTCACCACCTCGCAGTTGCTCCACTGGCGCTCCATCGCCTGGCTGGCCGCTTCCGGCGTTTTTATGGGTAATTTTATCAAGCTATTTTGAATATTTTTAAGGTAAAAAGATTGGGTTCTTGTAAAATTCTATTTGAAGTTATTACGGGCTCCATCACCGGGTTGGAATGATACAATTACGAAACATGTTTCTTATTTTGTCAAAAATATTTTCTCCAGGGGCCTCCGGGACGCAACGATAAGTCAGAAACTTTGGAGCTATTTCAAAACGATTAAAAAATGCAAAAAAAATTAGAAAACTAGTTATCGTCGTGAATATGGTGTTCAAATTATTTAAAAAAATATTTTGAGGCGGTAACGTGCCGGAGCGATGGTTCCCCGGGCGATTCGATCTACTCGGCTATGGGCATCAGGTATAGGGCATCCTCTTTTTTGTATAGGAAATGTATTTTCGAATATAGATATTAAATTGCCTTCGGTTTTTTACAACCGGTTTTTAATGGGGGGGGGCTACAATTCCTCAAAGGCTTCAATCTCGTTTTCCTATTCGACAAATTTCTATTTACTCAAGCAGCAAATTTGCTAAAAATATGTTTTACGTAAAACCATAGGTAAGCGGGTTTCACGCATTTCAATGAGCCGAAAATTCTGTTGTTCTATGTTCTGTTTTTAATTTTTGCGGTTCCGTCTCTCCAATTCGGGCTTCAGTTCTTCCACCTTTGCATCAACATGGTCAACTGGAATCTGATCGAGGCGACCAAGGTCGATTTGGAGACGCGACACGGCGTCCCGTCACAGCAACGCGTCGAGGCCATGGTAGGAGGGGAGCGTTTCTGGAAAAGCCATATTTTTCGTTTTTCGAAGGCCGTGTTTTCGAAACTATAATCTCTTAGAAAAATACTAGCAAGAATGGCTTCAAAAAATATTTTTGGACAAATTCTCGCCAGCATAGTTACTCTGCCTAAGGTGAACGAATTACCTATATTAACTTGTGCTCGTTTTTAGTTCGACATAAAACATATTTTTTTTAATACTTTCAACTTCACACATCAATCATTTTACGCAAAATTTTAGCAATGTTTCATCAATGGTATTTATATAATTGACAGAATTTATTTTAGTATTTGTTTTTGAAGCGGTTCGTCTAAAATCTATTTTGGCTCCCCCAGCATCGTTCGTCTGGTGCTAAATGCAACGTTTTTCGTAACTTCCATCCTTGCCATTTTCGTCCATTTAAAAGGAGCACAACAGCACCCACCAGCACAACGCTCCCATTGCCTCAGATCATTAAAATTTAGGAAGTTTTAACTTATTACTTCCAGAAATGGGTGATGGTCGTCTGGCTGGCCATCGTCGTCGGCGTCAACATCTACCTGCTCAAGGTATCAAAAACGCAAAAAAAATCAATTTAAATTACAATTTAGAATCACAAAAAATACCGGAAATGAGCCTTTCAATTCTAATTTTTGGACACTTACTGTTCGCCAACCGACAGGCCGACCAAACTAGCCAGCCCTTTAAATGTTGTTTTTGGATGAGTGAAAATGCATTGTGTTGAATGTTTATTTTTGTATAAACATCAGGGATGGATTATCAGAAAGAATACCTAGGAGGTAATCGTCTTTAACGAAACACTTTTTTGCGCCTAACAGTTATTGTTAATGACTTTTAAATTTTTTCCGCGGTCTCGCTTTATTGCAGCCTATATTGCGCAATTTATGTTTTAGGGGAAACTGGGGCAAGCTTGCAGAGCTTTTTAGCAGCCAGAGGAGCGCAGTAGAAGTCCCAATTAAATGTCGAGTCGTGACAAAAGGTTTTATGGCACTGAGGTTTAAAAAATTGTTTTTTTTTGCTCATAATTGATCAAAGGTTCAATGTTTCGGCAAAGTTTAAGCATGCCAAAATTTTCAGCAAGATTAATTAATCAACATACGAGGATCCAATTCCAAGATATACAAACGAAACAAACGTTTCAGCAAAGTTCAATCACGATTAGATCCACGCGCGATTAATGCGAGGATTTAAAACGCTTCCTTACCTAAATTCCACGAAAAATAGCGTCAGCAATCAAAATTCATTATCTGGGAAAATTTAAAATGTTGTTTGTAGGTATCAATTGGAAATCGGAAATCAGAAGTCGGAATCGCAAATCCTCATGCAAATTTTACCAAACTCTGATTTTTCAAAAAATGAATCTTCGAAGCGGGACTTTTTGAAAATACGACTTTCAAAAAATTTCATGCATGAAATTAATGTTCGAAATAATTTGCGCGGACCAATTTTCTTTAACCGACACGACGCTATTTTTCGAAAATTTGATTTCGAATTATCTATTTTCTATATTTTCTAAAAAATGGCTTTTAAAACGTGTTTTTCCAAAGTCAGGTTTTCGAAATAATGAAAATTTTAAAATTTTTTTCAGTTGACCCACACACTTCACGCTCATCGCGACAAGCAGGAAAAGGAGTGATGCGGAACGACGACAGTGACGGCTACGACTACGTACGACACCTCCGAACACCCCTCCCCAGCATCGTCCCTGCGATTTGCTTTAAACGAAAACGAACAATTCGAAACATCGCACCCACTTTTTTGCGCCCCGATGCCTTGTGCTGTTGTGTGATTTTTTTGCGGGCCTTAATAAAGCGGGTTTTTGGGTCAAATATAGGTTCTTAAATTTTTATTTTATTTAATATTTATTTATTACTAGTTCTTATGTATTTTATTTCATGTTTTTAATGATTTTTTTTTGTTTTTGGATGTGATGCTGTGCCTTTAAAAACGTTCAAAACGATAAGACATGGACCAGCTAGCAACGGTTCTTTGTGGAAAATTTATACTAGCTGCGGAGACAAATCCTCAAAGATTCTTGGATGCAACGCGCAGGATTCGGCTTTGCTAAATGGTTAAGCTCTCGCTTACCATCTGCAGGGTGCGAGTTCGAATCCCTTCCACGGCTTTTTTTTGCTTTTTGGACCAAATGATTCCAATTTCTTTCCGATCACACCACATTCTCGATTCCCACGCCGCGAAACGCGCGAAATATCAAAAAGGTCTTCGGTCAGTTTAGCTAAATGGTTCGGCTCTCGCTTACGACCCGAATGACCAAAGTTCGAATCCCCTCGGCGCCAACAATTTGCTTTTTGTATCAAAACACCTTGATCCCTTCCCGATCACACCACACTCTCAATCCACTCGCACAAACTCGTAAAACGCGACAAAACAGCACGAAATGGGTTGTGGTGTCTGGAAATATCCGCGTCGTCCCGCAGACGCGACTTTCCGGTAAAAATCGCGCGACCATCGTAAAAAAAGCGTTATCAGGTGACCCGGGCAAGCGGACCGGGGGATGGTGGCAAGTCCGAGGCTACGGATAGTTCCTATCCACACACCATGCCACTTGTTTTTTAAACCTTTTTGGAATTGGAAGATTGGACTTGATAGGCGTATATTTTAATTGGATGTTTCAGATTTTTAACTGCCCTAACATACCTTTGTGTTTTACATTCGTCGCTCCTGATTGAGTTGATTACTATAGGCTCCAGAAGGGGACAAAGCCAGAGAGAGAGAGAGAGAGAGAGAGATAGGTGAGAGAGGGGCAGAAATAATGATCGACTGTCCGAAATGGGGGGTAAAAATCTCGGGTTGTGCGAAATGTTTCAAAAACAAGTCAAATGCAAACATCGTGTGTCGTTAATTATAGCAGGTCTGTTGGTGCGTTAAGAAATGCGAGGAAAAAGCGGCGAGAGAGAGAGAGCGAGATAGAGAGAGCGCTAAAAATCAACAAAAAAAAAAACAGATATAACTAACCAATAAAGGCTTCCGGCTCAAAAGACTGCACAATATTCGGCACAGTCCTGTTTTTGGTCTCATCCGATACTTAAACACATTTTCTTTAAACGTATCCTGCATCATCTAATTTTCGCTGGGTATTTTTCAGGCTTCCTGAGTTCTCGAAAAGCTTCTCAGGTCATTCTTTCATTGAACACCAGTTTCTGTCAATAAAGCGTTCGCCACTAAAAATAATAAAATTTCATGGGCGTTCAATTTTTAGCCACCTCATATATTTTTGTTTTTTTGTATGTTTCATCCTTGCAAAATGAGAAATTGGGCCAGGTTTCACGAATTTGATAGTGTACAAGTTCGAAAACCAGGATCGTCCGATAGGAATCCGGCGGAATTGTCATTTTTTACAAGCACTTTTCAATAGATCTTTTTTTGCGATATGGACAGGTAGAAGATGAACTGATGGACAGAGAGCGAGAGAGAGAGAGAGAGAGAGAGAGAGAGCAAGAGAGCGATAGACAGATTGGAGCCGATATCCCTCACCAAGCCATCTCACGCCACCCATCGCCCCAACCCAAAACTATGATACATCCGCCTCCATATCCACAATTTGCCCAGTGCGCACTTTGTACTTCCTCTGATAGCACCAGACGAGATAAGCTCTTTGCAAAAAAAAACATGATATCAGGTTTTATCGGACCATTGCGGAGATTTGCGGGAATTTAGCTTTTATCAGCCCATCGTGCTGCGAAACAGAAATGTTTCAAAAAGATTCGAAGCCGAATCGGATTGATGATTAAATTTGCTAATCGCTAGCCTAGAAAACAGCATGTTTTTTTTGCAAAAAAAAAAAACGAAATGAGGTGATATCCTATGATTTTTTGAGATTTGAGCGATTATTGCGGGTATTTGGCTTTCATCAGCCCACCGCTTAGCGAAACAAAGATGTTTCAAAAAAATTCCAAATTTTCCCATTGTCCGTTTCTTATGGAACGAGGAGAAGCCTAGCCAGCCTAGTAAACAAATATTATTTTTTATGTGGCTGAAATAGCTCTTATAAGCGAACTAAGTTTTCTAAAATTTACCTTTCACATGGTAAAATAAATATGTAGAAATAAATGTTTCCAATATTCGCCAGTTCTGTTAAAAGTTTTTCTGCTGAGTTCTTTGGCCTTGGTTGTGCTAGCCCAGAACAGCATCAAGATGAGTTTGCAAAAACAACATTGTATCTGCTTTTATGGGACCGCTCAAGCGAGTTGCCGGAATTTGCTTATTATGGAGAAATGTTTCAAAAAATTTCCAATTTTGTTGCAGTGTGCACTTGTTAATTTCTTCATGTTCAGTTTTGCGAGCGCAGAAAACTATTTCCGTTTTTAAACACCGGAATTAACTTTTATAAGCACGCCTCAGCCGCCGAGAATTTACTTTTCTTATCACGCCGCGAGAAGCAAAATCTTTCCATTATTCGCGAGACCTGTTAAACGTTTTCTCTACTTAATTCCTTGACGCCCTTGATGTCAAATTTTTGTAGCGGCTTCTTGATTACGAATGATACTAATGGTGATAAACTATTGAAAGCCGAAAAAAATAGTGTTTTGAATCCGAATTAACAAAAGATTTTGTGATATTAGGTTAATCCAAGGTCGCGCAGTTCGATAGTTCTGATTTACCCACTGCTCCGATTACAAATTTCTCAATAAAAACACTTTAAAGGCACTTCAAATGCTTTCGCTCTCAATAAAAACACTTTAAAGGCACTTCAAATAAAAAAAGATGTTTCAAGGTTTTAAGAGGGCAATAAAATATTGGTTAAGCTAATGCGTTGATGTTTTCTTCAGGCATATTTTTTTGCGAAATTACACATCAAAGATGGTCATTGAATTTTGCATTAATGGGAGAACATGCGAATTTCGAAATTTATCCAAAAAATGAAAATCAAGTTGTGTCGAAAAAGTACGAGACAGGCGTAGTAGCCAAACATGTTTCAAAAAACTGCCATTTGCCGATGAGGTCAGATGATAATAATGAACCACGGGTTTCTTTCTTGGACATGGCTTCCTTCAAATCAGATTAATCATTTTCATCGGTATCCAATTTTTTTACATACAGCGTCGATTCTGTGTCATTAATGCATAGACGCTTTTAGGCGGATAGATCGGGGGAAATCCATTAGTCATAAAACCATTAGTCATAACCCCATCAGTCATAAAACCATTAGTCATAAACCCATTAGTCATAAATTCCATTAGTCATAAACCCATTAGTCATAAATTCCATTAGTCATAAACCCATTAGTCATAAATTCCATTAGTCATAAACTCATTAGTCATAAATTCCATTAGTCATAAATTCAATAGTCATAAATTTTATTAACCGTAGATTTTGAGGTTTGAGTGTTGAGTTTTGAGTTTTGAGTTTCGAGGTTTGAGGCTAGAGGTTTTGAGGTGTATGTGATTGTCCTTGTCGTGTTCTCGAATCAAACTCCTTGGTTGCACCTAATCGGATATCATTAAACCTATTAATTTTGGATTGGTTAACGGGATTATATCAGAGAATAACATTTCCAAGCAATCAGTTTCATAACATTTATGACTCTTGGAATTTATGACTATTGAATTTATGACTAATGGAATTTATGACTAATGGATTTATGACTAATGGAATTTATGACTAATGGATTTATGACTAATGGAATTTATGACTATTGGATTTATGACTAATGGGTTTATGACTAATGGAATTTATGACTAATGGGTTTATGACTAATGGAATTTATGACTAATGGTTTTATGACTAATGGGTTTATGACTAATGGTTTTATGACTAATGGGGCGAAATCGGATAGATCAATCGATATTCGCGCTAAGAAACTCAATGATTACCAGCTAGCTACCTCGGTTTTTGCCTCGTACAAAACGGGTATGGAGCTATGCGATACCAATTCGAAAAATTAGTGATCCTTATAAAGGCAATAGATTTTTTTTTGTAAAAAATGTGTTTTGGCTATATAATACCCATCCCATTCCCTGGGTGCGGTAATTGAGATTGTTACTTTTGCATTAATTACTACTTTTCCATTGTTTTTGATTATATGTCTTCCGTTGTAAATCTTTTTCTATTTATTATCTACGTTCACGATTGAAAAAAATATATTGCTTCTGCAGAACGATAGAAATAATAGTTTCGAAATAATAATATCGATATGAGCTACCAAACAGCTTTTTCAGTTTTCAAATTAATCAGAGCTAATAAATTCCATTGGACCGCCCAATATTTCTATGAGTAAACGGTTAACTGTAACGGAAAACTGTAAACCTATCTATTGACGCCTCATTAAGTTCGATTATTTGAAGTGATTTTTAGTAGTGAAAATGATGTGTTTCCGTTTGAGAATGCCGGTTTTATGGAATCCATTAGCTACTTTGCTGATGTAACTTTAATTAAGTGTTTGATACGAGATTACTTCCGAAGTAATTTACGCAGTAATACTTACACATTTACGAGCAAACAAACTTAGCATTAAAATACAATTTTTTTCATATCGACTATTTTTAATGCCATCGGAACTCGATTTTCGGATTATTTATTGCCGCAAAATTATATTTCGAGTTTATAACGGCTTCATCGATGTCGAGCTGATAATAGCCAGAGCATGCAGTTTCGTCAGTTTTTCAATCATAC